AGAAAGATAAGTATAAGATTTGCAAAATGTATTTTACATTGGGCTCATATTCTTTATTAAAAGAATTAACTCAAATTCCAAATTTTTTCCAATAAAAAACGATTTGCCATTTTTAATAGACACTTTTGAACTTGAAAGTTACATTACTAATGAAAGAATCATTTTTATAATTAAAATCCCTTTAATTGAGCATAACGACTTAAAATTAAACCACATTATTCCAATCCCAAAACTACATCCAAAATCCCATTTTTATTCCTTGTTACCTGTTAAAAGTCAGTATTTGTCAATTTCAACCGATGGTATGCATTATGTACCTTTTGATTTGGAAAAATGAAAAATTGTAAATAAAATCTATTTCTGCTACAACAAAATAGTAAATAGCAAATTTAATGGACCCTGCGAAATACAAATTCTTATAAATCAAATACCGACAAAATGTAATAACTTAATTAACCTCGACCTACATGGATTGAACTGGACACCTTTAAAACGAAACCAATGGCTTATCATCACTTACGACGAAATCTACCTACGTAGTAAATGTAATAATAAAGTTACCAGTACTCATTTAGATGTAGGAAATTATATCCTTTATGGTCAAGAATCCTGTCAATTTAATCTTGGAATAATAACCTTTTTTCTGAAGATTCAAAAAATTGAACAATTGAAGAAAATATATTCATCCCATTGCCAGGGTTAGACTGTTGTGAAAATTAACCAAAGAAATCTAATGTGAATTTAAAACCTATAAACATTGGTGCAGTTAATCTTAAAAATTTAAAGGAACCCGAAGAATAGTTAAATAGTTTTTCTGACGAACTTAAGAAGCTTGGTAGTGAAACCTTCGTTCAAAGACATTCAAGTTATATAACATACGTTATAGTTATCATAATAACAACGATCATAATTTACTTGTTTGTAAAAGCTCAATTTTAAAAAAACTTCTTGGTTACTTTTTTGGAAGTTCAGATAGATGAAAAACCACCACCCGACAGCGGAGGCTGTTGTAACCAGTGTACGTTTACACCCTGTAGACGTCCATCTATCAATATCGAGATGAGTTATGTTTCCGAAAAAGTCGTATTCCAACAACCTACTCCAAGATCAAGTTTGATGGTAAACCCCAAAAAGAAAAGGACAGTACTGTTTCATAAAAAAACAAAAAAATATGTATATTTACTTATATCCATACTTATATTCTATTTTTACCCAACCTCAAAATAAAAATTATGGTACACATTTAGAAAAAATATGGTACATTATGGTACGCACCAAACAAATATTATCGCACAAATTATGGTATATTTTAGGACTTTAAAATTAAATCAACTAGGCACTTTAAGAAAAGTCATATTTATTTTAACACAAACTTTGATAAAATAAAATAAATAAGGTACAAACAAAAAAATAAACTTTGTTAAAAAATAATAAATTATTTTAAACTTAATAAATTAACACTTTTAATTAGAAATAATATCGCATTCATCAAAGTCTTGATTATTGAATAAATTATCTTTAGTTATGTATTCGCACATTTTTTCTGAGGGGTCAAAATTTATACATTTTTTTTTAATTTTTATACCGCTCGAAAAAATCTTTTCTTAAAAACCACAGAGGTGAAAAACAAAAGTTTGAATAGAAAAGAACATAACAGTTATAACTGCTGCTAACCTAGAACATTAATTTTCATTAACAGCTGTTTATGAAAATTTAATACTGTACTGGCAGGACTGATCGCAATGTTGCCTAATGTATTTTCAGTGCAAAAGCATGCTTAAAAATTATAATACTTAATTTATGTTAAAACAATATTGTAAAAAAGAAATTATGGTACAATTAATGTATTATGGTACGCTATAAAAATGGAAGGTACATACCTTTAAAATTATGGTACAAATACCATAATTATGGTACGGTTGGCAACACTGGAGTGCTCGGATATTCGAAACCGTGTCCACGTGCTTACTCTGTCTTGCATAATCTGCTCGCGCCGTCAGTGGGCGGGGCGTATTCTATACGGGGTTTAGGTAGTTGAATCAAGTATTGTTGGATTTTGCGTTTTTGCGTTCGAAAATTTGTATCCAGTTAGGTATGTGTATTCTAGCACCCATTTGGATAAAAGTTCATATTTCTAAAACCGTTGAAGTTAGCGACTTATTTTTTTTAAACTTTGTCAATGTTTTGACTACATTTGAATCGATATATATGTATAGAAATTTTCAATAATTCACATAGCTCGCCGCAGAGTAAAGTTTGCACGATTTTGATAATTCTAAATTGCAAATTTTTTTGTTTCTAAATCTTTAAAAATTTTTAAAATTTCTGAATTGCTATTAGAAGCGCTCACATTTAAAGTATAAGTCTGCAAAAAATCAGAATTTTAGATTTTTGCAATATAGAATTATCAAAATCGTGCATCGAAAACTTTACTCTGCGGCGAGCTATATTAATTATTGAAATTTTCTATACATATATATCGAGTCAAATGTAGTCAGAACATTGACAAAGTTTTAAAAACAAAAATTAAGTCGCTAACTTGAACGGTTACAGAAATATGAATTTTTATATTAGTAATTTCAATTTAAAATATAAACACATCCGTTAGGTTAATTAACGGGTAAACTTTTAATTTAATTTTGCCAATAAAATAATATTATATTATATAGCTAGAACAAACAAAAAATCATTGAGTTAAAATATTTCTATTGAATTTTTTTTTAATAAAGAAATATTTGTTAAAAAAATCATTCTTATATTTTAGCAAATTTATGTTCAGTATACTTTAATTTATCTTTTTGACTTGTCGTACTAACCATTTTCTGTTGTAGTTATGATTAATAAATTAATTAGTGAATTTGGAAAAAAAAAATGTATCCCAAAAATATTATTATTATTTCTTTGTTTGTATCTGCAACAGATTTTAGAAAAATTGATTTCTTGGGATTAAAAATTATTCTTTTTTTTTTAGAAAATTGTTATATTGTGCATAATATAATTAAAAAAGAATTTTAATTTCACAAGGCGATTTTATTCCCCCATGAGGTTGGGTGATTCGTAACATTAATCGTTAAATAAAATTTTGATTTTTTGCAGACTTATACTTGAAATGTGAGCGCTTCTAATATAAATTCAGTAATTTTAAAAATTTCTAAGGATTTTAAAAACAAAAATTTGCAATATAGAATTATCAAAATCGTGCATCAAAAACTTTACTCTGCGGCGAGCTATGTGAATTATTGAAAATTTCTATACATATACGAGTCAAATGTAGTCAAAACATTAACAAAGTTTAAAAAAAAGTCGCTAACTTCAACGGTTGTAAAAATATGAATTTTTAACCAAATGCGCGCTAGAATACATATACCTAACTGGAAACAAATTTTCGAACGCAAAAACGAAAAATCCAACAATACTTGATTCAACTACCTAAACCCCGTATATATTTAACTATTTTAACGAAAAATATGAACTTCATGGTGTTTGTGATGCGTCACAAAATGCATATGATGATGTAGTTTATGTAAAATCTTTTTGTCAAAATGTGTGTGTCGAAATGCATTGTGATTGCACGCCGCACAGCGATGCCACGTCTTTAGACGGTAGATGTCTCCAGATTGACTTGCCGCTGTCCTGGTCACTTATTTCTTTATAAGTGAACATTGACACTGATGAGACCCAACAGGTCGAAACAGGCTGTCTGTCAGTGTTGGTGGGTATGGTACATTAGTCATTGGACCATACCATTCGGGAGGCATTTCAGTCTTGTAATCATCCAATTTTGTTGCCAAAAAATCATATTTTTACTAAACTTTTAATAGAATATGAGCACACAAAAAATGTGCATGCTGGTACAGAATTTATTTTAGCACAAATTAGAAAACAATTTTGGCCTTTAAATGTTAAAAACCTTATTAAAAATGTAATTCGAAAATGGTTAAGATGTTTTAAGGTTAATCCTACAAGTTTTTAGCCAAAAATGGGTAATTTGCCAGGTAAACTCCCATTTTCAATTTGTGGTATAGATTATTATAGAGTAAGATCCCAGAGCTCCCAGACCTACGTCATTTCAATACTGCTGAGATTTTTTAAATAAATGTCTTAATATGTAGTTAAAAACTCGTTCTTATTTTCCATTTTCCATTTTGTGTTTTGAAAGATTCACTAACAACAAAATTGCGTGTTGTTTTAGACTCATCTTGCAAATCTAAAAGCGAAACTTTTAATTTAGGACTACTACTTCAGGATGAATTATTTTCTATTTTACTTAGATTTTGTCAGTATAACTTTGCCCTAATTGGAGATGTAGAAAAAATGGGGGAACCAACGTTATAGTTGTACTCCTGCATTTTACATATTTTATTTGGGTGACTATTTTAAGATCTTTTATAAGAAGGCAGACCAATCCGAAAGGCCCAAGCCCCCCCCAGACGCTTTAAAGGTAAAGAAAAAATGGGGGAACCTACGTTATAGTAGTACTCCTGAATTTTACATAATTTTGATCGATTTGGAAACAAGAAGGATACGTTGCATGATACTGTTGGCATTATTTATTAAACTTTTAATTTGAATATTCCTGATGCATCAGAAATATCAAATTTACCCTCTTACAATGACAAATAAACCTTGAATGATAAAAAAGAAGACGGAGAACATTTGAAGCCTTATCTTTAGATGCAGTTCCTTACCCGAAAAAACCAAAGATGACAGATGATCTGCAATTGTCGGCCCATGAGGTTGAAAATCTAAAACCTTTTAATTTAAAATTATATACTGAAATAGATACTATTTGGATGATTAGCCATGCTTTAAAAGAATCTAGGAAAAAATACCCCTGGAAAAAAACCCTCGGAAAAAAACCCATTAAAAAAAAACCCCTAGGAAAAAAAAACCTTGGAAAAAAACCCAAGGAAAAAAAAAGCCAAAAAATAAATCCCGGTTTGACAAGTGTCACATATAATTTATAATAAAATAAAATCGATAAGAGAATTTTTAACATCATGGAGTTTTTAAAAACACCAAGAGGTAAACCAAAACTTTGTTGGGATGGGTACATTTATGTTATCCATAAAACCTGTGCTACCAGTGTACGATGGAGGTGCAGCAAATACAACTCCTTTAAGGTAAAATTTTAATTATTAATTTAAGTATTATTCTTATTATATTACATTAATCTTTTTATATTACATTAATATTTTTATATTTTATACACAATGCTATCATATAATTTAAATTAATAATATTTAATTTGCTTAAAGCATTATAAAAGGCCTATCCCATGAATGGATAGCTCATGCGTAAAAAAGCGCGGCTTTCTGTCTTTCTTTAATAAAAATTCATTTTTTGTCCCTTTTTCACGCACGCGCTATCTAATAGTTCTATTTATGGGATAGATCTATTGTTGGTATAAGAAAAGTAATTGTTAATGGAATTTTTTTTAATTCAGTGCAGAGCATTAGTTAAAACCGATATAAACCATGGTGCAGGAGAAAAAATAAAGGAACATAATCATCCAGTGGATCCACAAAATGTTGAGGTAGTAAAGGCAGTGTACCACATGAAGGAACGTTGCAAAGATACATTAGCGAAGCCATCCCAAATTTTTGCAGAGGGTATAGCAGCACTTCCAGAAAATGTTAGGGGTCGAATGGTTAAAGAGGATCATCTAAAAAGGACCTTCAGGAATATTAAAGCTGGACACAATCCAAAAGAACCAACTCTCTTAACGGACCTCGTTATTAAAGGTAAACATTTTTTATATACATTTAGGTATGAGCCTTTATTAAGAAAATGATGTATGTTTTAAATTTTCCAAAATGATGCATACATTTGAAAATCTGTTCAAAATTAAAAATTAAGGTAACTAAGAAGTAAGCTTCTGCCTTGCGTTCTCTTAGTGACACCCCCAATTTTTTTTAGAAGAATGGAAAAGTACTGGAGGACCCGAAAACAAAAGATTTATTCTAAACGACAATGGCTTAAATGCCAAAGAAAGAATAATTATCTTTGCAGATGATAATTGCCTGGGGTACTTAGCTGCTGCCACCACATGGTACCTCGACGGAAATTATTCACTGGCACCTCGCTTCTTTAAGCAGTTGTATGTTATAAGAGTTCCTGTAGCACCTTCTAACTACGTTATAACAGCAGCATATTGTTTGTTAGAAAAAAAAATCAACTAACGTATGAAAAAATGTTACAAACAATAATAGATGAATGTGGCCAGCGAGATTTATTTCCAGATCCAACGGTAATTCACATGGATTTTGAGAAGGCTGCTATGCAGGCAGCAACTTGCATACTGGGGGAGCATATTCATATAAGAGGTTGTTTTATCACCTTTGCCAAAGTACTTATAGAAAACTGCAGGAATTAGGCTTACAAAAGACCTACATGGAAAATCCAAATTTAAGTACTTTTTGTGGAAAACTGGATGGATTGGCCTTCATTCCCATAGAGGATGTTCAAAAAGGAATGGATCATCTAAAGGCGACTCCTGAAGGTGAAGAATATTCGGAGCTAATAAACTATTTCGATGCCACCTATATTTCGGGAACATTCCAAAAAATTGGAAATTCTTCGAAAACCCGAAACATTGCTCCAATGTTTTTGCCAAAAATATGGAATGTCCATGAAGCCACATTGTCTGATGAAAACAGAACTAACAACCTTACAGAGGGTTGGAACAACAGATTTTCCAACCTTGTTGGCCAAAACCATCCATCAGTTTGGTTGTTGATTAAAAAAATGAGGATGGAATTGGCTGTGGATTCGGCCAAACTACAAAATGCAAATTTGGAACCAGATGTTAAAAGAAAACGGCCCTCTTATCAGGTTCTGCAGGAGCGGCTAAAATTATTGTGTCAACAATATAATAATAAAGTAAGGGATATGAAAAGTTTTTTAAATGCCATATCCCATAACATGAGGTTTAAACCAAAAAATTAAATTAAATATTTTTTCCGGTGTTTTTTTTTCAAGATTCGTATTATTAAATATACTAAATATAAACGGCATTTATTTGGTGTTTTTTTTTAATTTTTTTCGTAGATTTATTTTTTTTAAGTAGATTTATTTTCCTGGAGTTTTTTTCCGGGGTTTTTTTAAGGGGTTATTTTATCCTGAAGGTTTATTTTCCTAGAGGTATATTTTCCTGGGTTTTTTTTTCCTGAGGTAATTTTTCCAGGGTTTTATTTCAAAGGGCTTCTTTTCCGTTTACCGCTTTAAAATTACCTAATGTTCCTATGTGGGTTGGTTTTAATACTTTAATACTACTAATGAATATGCGAAACAAATAATTTCTTATCTAACTCCCATCAAATCATCACCTACGAATTCATCAATGGTTCTGGAGACTATGAGGCAAAGTCAACAAATTTGTCAATACCTAAAACAATCTTCCATACATGTCACTTACGATCTCGCGATTGCGAAAGTAGCTTTACAAATCCAAGATACCGAAAAACCTAAGTTTGACAATTTATTTATACATTTAAGGCCTTTATATTATGATGGCTTATTTTAAAGCTGTTGGCAAAGTAATAAATGACTGTGGTTTATCTAGTGTTGTGGTACAAAGTAATTTGCTAGCGATGGGCACTTCAACAGGTGTAAGAGACCTTTAATGGCAGTAGGATTGGAAATTTTACATTTTAAGTAATTCTTAGCAACAAAAAATACCATATTCACGGATCTCATCATACAGGAAGTTATACGTCTGCAAATGAATTATTAAATGACTATAGTATTTACAAGCAGCAAACTTTTAACGGCCAGTTCGGACACCGAAATTTTATTTAATCTATATCAATCTTGTGCAATATTATTTTACTTTATCAAGAAGCACACGACTAGGAGATTTTGAACTATTTAAATTTGTATTGCCTAAAATCACTTTTATATGCTTTATATGCAATTAGCAAAATTATGCTCGGTGGGCAGTTCAATACTATGCAAATTTGCAAAACATCGCCAAAACTCATCCTTATTTGTATGAGGAATTTCAAAAAGGTTGATTCGGTATTAAAAGATCTAATAAACCTTTTTCAAGACAGTTCTGGAACAAACAATCAATGCAGATGCTGCCAAGAGACTTACAGGTATGTACCCAAATTATAATTAATTTAATTTCCATTAAAAAAATGTTCTTTTATATAATTTTAATTATTTTGATCAATAATAAAATAAATTTACCTATAAATGATTTATTATTATAAGGTAAAAATAGTGAAACTTTACAACTTGGTTGTTTATATTCATATATTAAAAATTACAATTAAATTTATTAACATTAAATTTTTTAAAATCTTGCAATTTATCAATTCCATCTTAGCACGCCAACGATGGGCTTGTAGCCATGATTTTAGATCAACAATAATTAGTTATGTTTATGAAGAGTTAGATTTACAAAAAGAACAGGATGTTACAGCAGACTTAAAAAATCATAATATTAAAAATAGCATCAAACAATAACAAAAATTTATCGACACCTTTGATAAATTTATTTACCCATTCAGAGCAGTACTGCCTAAAGATCAGTTAATAAATATTTCATCTGGTAAGGCAGCGTCAGATCCGGTTGAAAATTTTCTCACTAATATTGAAGAAAATGGAGAAAAGAAACGTTTATTGCAGAATGTGAAGCAGATATAACCGGAGTGAAAATTTAGATTGTAATTTAAACCTACTTTGACCTACGAAAACTGATTTAAAACCTGTTCAGCCTGTTAACTCCAATTCAGCACTAGAAAAACAGAATTTATCTTTAGTTAAACGATTTAAACCTCTAATAAAATTTTTGGTAAATCATTTTATTTCAAAAATAAAATTTTACCATTGAAAAAATCCGTTTTTTAATTTTACTGCAAATAATGAATGCAAAGAATTCGTCCATTTATTTTAGAGTTATTTGTATACCAATTAAAAAATATATAAATAAAATTTCTATAATGCAAAATTTCGTTCGGTTTGATTTACAGGTATTCCAAAGAATTCATTATCGTCTATTTTCATATATACGAGGTGTGTTCAGAAAATAACGGGAATTGTTAAATTTCGCGGGTTCAGAGGGTCCGGTTGCCATAAAGTTTTCTTTATTATGTTGGTATACATGCCCCCGAAGTATGATAAAATCTTTAGCTTCATTGTTTACTTTGTCTGTGGCAGCCGCTAAGGTTAGACGTGTTTTATAAGCTCGGCGATTTTTCGTTCGTTAAAAGAAATGAATCAAAGAATTTGTATCCAATTTTGCTTAAAAAATGAAACAAATTCTGTGAACTGTTAACAAAGGCCTATAGTGAATCTGCTATAAGTAAAAAAAGAGTTTATAAGTGGTATAAGAGTTTCCAAGATGGCCGTGAAGACGTTGAAGATAACGAACGCCCCGAACGCACAAGCACATTAACAACCGATAAAAACATGAAAAAAGTGGAAGAAATGGTTATAAACCATCAGAGAAGTCGCTGATGATGTTGGTATATCGATTGGCTCATCCCATGAAATTTTTTCGAATGTTTTGGGTATGAAACGCGTGGCAGCAAAATTTGTTCTAAAATTGTTAAATTTTGAACAAATTTTTTGGCCAAAAACAATACTGTAATGATGCCCTAGCCTCCATATTCGCCAGACATACATCTGTCTGACTTTTTCATATTCCCAAAAATAAAGAGAACCTTAAAGGGCTGTCGTTTTGCAAGCATAGATGGCATTAAAAGCGCATCGCTGAAAGAACTAAAGGCTATCTCAAAGATCGAGTTTTAGAAGTGTTTCGAGTATTGGAAGAAGAGCTGGCACATGTGCATAATATCCAATGGGGACTATTTTGAAGGCGACAACATTAATGTAGACGAATAAATATTTGTTTCAAAGAACGAAAATTCCCGATATTTTCTGAACACACCTCGTATACAGACCGTCACAAGATAAGCAATCGGAACAGCAGAAATAGAGTTACGTAACCCCGTAAGGTGTTCACATGTTTGAAAAAGCATGTCCGTTGTACCTGTATGCATTCCTTAATATTATTTCAATACTTAATTATACTGAAAAATATTAGGAAATATTTTCATCAAAGTTTTATCTGGTAGTAAAATGTCGTTTCCTTCTCCTGTAAAATTTGCTAAAATGCACATAGATGTTTTTTCAGGCGCAGCAACGACATATTCAAATTTAAATATTGTCGCTCTTTTATTAATCGACATGCGCAGTGCCCTGGGCTTTTTTGGACTGTAGATTGTAAACGGTCATAATTTGGTTCAAATTTAAACGTAATTAGAACCGAAAAATCGGGAAAATGGACTTATCTCCCATGTTTTAGGTTAAAAGTCAAGACGGAATTTGTTCAGACTTAAATTACGATCTAAATTTTGTACATGAATTTTGTTTATTGAACAACAACCACCACCGCACATAGATATATTATTAATTGATGTATTTTTTTTACTTTACACAATGAAAGATGTTCCTAAAAATTTTTTTAAAATGGTAACACAATTAAATGCGATAAGAGTTGACGTTATTTTCGATCAATATTTTACCCCTTCCATCAAGGATTATGAAAGATATTTACGGCATGAATGTATACAACTCGATTTTACTATTACCGGACCCGATCAAGTTCGACCTGCTGATTTTGGGAAAGCGTTAAAAAATTCACACTTTAAGCAAGCACTCGTTGATTTTTTTATTATACACTGGGCCACTGATGAAATGGCACCATTTATTGGCAATAAATTGGTTAAGATTAATTTTAGGCAATGTCATTCTTTTATCGTCAATAATAATGCAGTTGTGTCTAATATTAATGAAAATTTATCGTGTCCGGAGCATGAAGAAGCTGACACAACAATTATTTTTTATCATGTGTGTAATATCGATGCTTAAGCAAACATTGTAATCAGGTGTTCTGACACTGATGTTGCCGCAATAATGCTGGGTAGTATGCATCATTTAAGAGATGATAATTTACATGTGGGGATGCTGGCAGGCACCGGAATCAAGATATGTGGATTTAACCAAGATCCATGAGCACTTGGGACTGTCTTTGTGTAAAAGCTTGCCGGGATTTCATGCTATCACAGGGTGTAATTCCAATCCTGCTTTATTAAAGAAAGAAAAAAAAGACCTTTTAAAATACTAAAAAAAAATCTGAGTATCAGCAAGCGTTTCTTCGGCGGTGTTGAATTATTTGGTGATAAAAACGCGAAACAAAATGTATTTGAGATAATACAAAAGTTCATATGTGAAATATACTGTGTTGATGGAATAGTACATGTTTTTAAATTAATTTCCATTTCCACTTCTTCCCCATAGCTATACGTAAAGATTTGTTTTGAATAATGTCCACTCATTTCAAAATATGGTTACTAGCAGAGCTATAAAGTATAGCCCCATAGTGGATTTTATATATGTTTTATACAAAATGAGAGAAATGTCTGGGTGGGCCCCCCACCATGTTTTGTTTATCATTTTTAGAAAGTTAATACCTTTTTCACATTTAGAAATCACTGAGTCTATATGTGAGGACCCTGTTAGTTTTTTATCTAGCTGCAGGCTAGGCTGGTTCAAAAAAATCAACTATTTTTTTTCCTGAATTTTCGCACTGAAATATCTTAACGATACCAAAAAAAGACTAATATTTAGAGGTCGCGCATCGATAATTTTTATTTTCCATTTAAATAACATGGAAAATTTTGTTTTGTTTCTTTATAATTTTCTAGCTTACAAACTAATTAACAGATTTGTATGCGCGATATATATTCTTGTGGAAAATTTAATGCTGTACAAAAAATGTCTCATATCATTTTTCGATAAACCAACGAGTTCAAAAGATATTCAAAGTTAGTTACTTCAATTTTAGGCAAATTCATAAGTTAGTTATTATAAAATATTAAATCAATTCCACTGAAACACCTACTATTTTTGGAATTCATTAAAATTCTTTTTGATTG